CTGACTGATTGTGGCTCTTTCTGATCCCTCTCAGAGAGAAGCCAGGCAGGTTTTAATGAAATGGAAGGTTTTGTCCTAATAATCGATGCTTTATAATACTTATTACTTAGCAATAACTCTTTGTGTGTTTGTTAGTTGGTGGTGTTTTACCATTACATTTTAGGCAACAGTTACAATCTTTTTGTCAAATGTTAAGATTTCTTGATTTCTAGCGTCTGTTATTCTGTGCAGGAAACATTTGATAATTTCTTCAGTGTTCATTTGTGGTTTGTCTGATCTATTTTCTACTGTTTTGCTTTGAAGAGCTGTAAAACCCAGCAATATCTACTTGTTTAGTCGATTTCTTCTGTTGAGAGTTGGATCATTGTAATTCAGCCACAGTTGGACAAAAAGCTAGTTAATATAGGCTACTAGGCTAGCTTGCTAACAAAACTAGCTAGGCTGCTCAACCATAACATAATCTAACAAAAAGCTGTCTCAATATTTATTACCTTATATACATTTTGATTAAGGTTTTTCTTTTCTTTGTGTTCTTTTTTTTTTAAACGTTAACCTTACCCAGACTGTTTGTTTCATTATTCCTGTCAAGCTAAGCTAACAAATACACAGTAATTGTTCTTTCGCAGTACTTGAAAGAAGGCGTAAAATGACACAACTATATTCTACAAATACAGCACTAGTTTGTAAGGCCAGCTGCATTGTACACCTTTGATGATATTATTTTGATATAATGAATTTCTAACTGGGAACTGAGTCATATGACAGGGAGAAAATCTTCATATACTAGCCAGGATAAGAGATCAGCAGGGGTGACAGAAAGGGGACATTAATCTTTCAACAGGCTTGAACATAACATACCATCCATCGTCTATGTGCCTGAGGAAGCTGTTTTCTTCCGCCTTAGGTAGTTGTCAAACACCCACTCAGACAGATGAGACAGAGCTCCATTAGTTCCCCCAAATGGATCATCTCAAATAGAAACCTGAATAATGATTCAACTCCAAATTTGAACATGAAACAACAAGCAGTCCCTAAAATAATCTGTGATGAGCCAAGATTTTTGACAGATTTGGTCATGAAAGACGTGCAAAGAGTACTCATTTGTCCTCATTTTCAGAGTGCACAAAGGATTTCACAGATTACCCTGCAAATGGATTGATGATACATTAGTCAGCAGAAAAACAAAAGCAAACATCGACTCCAGTGCATGGAGGCAGGTTTTGCCATGGTTCTAGTGGCATATTTTTTGTGTAGCTTTAAAAATACATGTGTAGTAACAAAATATATTGTTTGGATTAGACATCTCGCCCCCTATAATCCTGGAAGCTATAAATAATCTGTTTTATTTGAATGTCTGAATCTATTTGAGACAAAAGGTTTTTTGTGACTTTGGGTCTGCATGGTGTTACCCAATGTCCAAGCCTATAACTACAGCTCTTTTTTTCATTTCCTAGGATAATAAAGCTCTTTGAAAACAAAAAAAGGACAAATGGAGCAACTGGAGACATGGTTTTTAAGTGTTTCTGTTGTAACTGACCTATGGGGTGATGTTTCTCTTTGGGCACTGGGGATTTTTGTTGGAATACAAAGTGATGAAACGCGGGAAGGTTAGGAAGCAGCTCCAGCTCTCTCCATTTATCCATGGTATTGTCACACATAATTGTTTTGGGTTGGAGATTTTAAAGGGATTCCATATCCCACCTGGCCTGAGAACACTCAGAATTTCCAAGGAAAAAAGAAAACGTGACATCTCCGTTTGAGCCCAGACCCGTGCAGACCGCAAAAGGGAAACAGTCGGATATTTTTGGCATTTCTGAGTTCTAAAAACAAAACACTTACTGGCGGACATGCCGGGTATTTCGACACCGAGTTGTTTGCAAGAAGCTAAAAATGTGCGACCCTGGTTTAAAGATACACTCGACGGTTGAGAAATGTTCAAGCCCAGACAAAATCACCCTGTCGATGCACAAATAACCGTGCAGTGTGCATATATATGTGGGCAAAAGGCAAAGAGACTTAATCCATCAAAGAGGATGAGACTTGCTAGTGTAACTAAAAGCCAACTAAGCTGTCTAGGAAGTGCATTAGAGGGTGGAGGAATGTTTGTGCAGGCGACTGTTTGTGTTTGCGGCAGCGTACGGGGCAAAAGGGTTAAGGTTCTGTACAGTTTCATCATAAACTCGTTGCATAATTCTCAGAGGTAATCTTTGCCCCTAACAACGCTTTTTTAAAACAAATATCACGCTCTACTTTTGGTGCTTTCAGTGCCTCAGGGGAGCTCTTGAAGAAATCAGAAACACAAAACAACATTTTTAACATCAGTGAAATGAAAGGTTGACCTTTTTTTTTTTTTATCGACAGTGGCATTTTACTCCACATCAGCACGTGGAAAAGCAAACCAAAACAACCTCGTTGCGTGCGTGTCTGCTGATTATCACGAGAGGTGAGAGGAAATAGGCTCGCTCTCATCACCCGGCAAACGTCCACAGCTAACCGTGTACATGGCCGGGTGGGTTTAGGGCTTTAGGGATCTGTCGGTCAGCTGGTCAGGCTTAAGCTGGTTACCGCGTTAACACTCAACTCGACATAACGAAACAACTCAGAAAGGGAAAATACCAAACAGGTTCCTCTGCAAAAAATCCAAAGCACCAATGATTCTGATGCTAAAAGAGGTTTTTCTTTGCAGATTATCTGTCAGATTAATAAATCGATTCAACGAAATTCTGTGGAAATCTGGAGCCTGAACTCCGTCTTTTTGCGGCAGATGGAAGTTGTTTTCCTTAAAATTGACAGAGTATTGGCTCTGGTGTCGGTCACTGACCCAAAAGCGTTTAGCCGGAGCCTCTTTCCAGAGATTCAGTGATAATGCCATCTTTGTGGAGGGTATCATTTGTCACTGAAGAGACACACATTTTCCCCATTTAACTTTGGCCATGATGAAAGCATTTCCAGAGGATATAAATCAATTTGAGTCATCAGGTCCATCTGGGCCTTACATAATGCGGGTACATGTAGGTGTTTGTGAGTTTGAATGGAGCAGCCGAAAGCAATTAGCTAGTTGGGCAAAGAAAAGAACCACTGTAGGCCTCATCGGCTTGTGTTGGTGAATAATGGCTTTAAGCCCTGCTCTTCGTCGAATATAAAATTACAACGGTGGACGTTCATTACACCTTTGAACATAAAATTGCTCACAATTACGTTAGAACCAAAAACCGAGTTATCAGGACTCACTAATCTGTTTAACTGGATAACTGAACCATCACCCTTGCTTTAATACAGACGACTTTAACTCTAACAGGGTTTTCAAACACCCATCATAGACCTCTATAAGTTTCTAACAGGAAAAATCATTCCCACCTGCTACCTGATTGACAAGATTCCAGTGTCTCAAACATAAATTCAGTGTGGTGGCATCTTACATCCATAAACTGGATTTACTTTGAAATTCCATAAAATTGAAGCGGAAATTTTAGAGAGATTCAATTCAGTAAGCAGTCACTCAGGTGCCAGGCAATCAAAATTGCAGGTTTGGACTCACGACAGATTATTCTAAAATGTATTCGGGCATTGATTCATCCCTCGTGTGGAAGTGCTGCTTGAGAGCTCTGGAAAATGACTGAAACAATGTGGGGAAACAGCTGCTTAGTCTGGGAACTTTACAGTAACAAAAAACTACCGTTTTAGCAATTTTCAGTCGTGGCTATCATCATTAGAAAATGGGCCTTCTATAATTTCAATATAGTGACCATAGCAAAGATGCTTTTAAAAATAAAGAAGGATAGTGTTTACAGCATTGCTGTTACACTCACAGCCCAGCGATGGAGAGGCAACCTGTCCAGGGTGGAGCCTGTCCAGGCCTGTCTCTCTCCAAAACCCCTCGTAAAACTCAAATATTTCAGTGAGGGTCAAGGTGAAGCCTCAGAGGCAAAATAGACGGTTCGAACATCTGTCAGAGAACAAGGTGACCATCATGGGAGGGAATAGAAACACACCAAATCGCACAAGTTCCAATGTCTTTTACCTCAAATGCTCATGAGCTAACTTTAAACTGACACATCCTCACGCCGACCCCTTAAAAGTCCAAATATCTGGCGAAAATAGACGTATTCTGACAGACTCAGAGCATGACGGACCTCCTCAGTGGGACACTGTGACTCCTTTGACTCGGCTCGACATCACTGACTCCACTGAACAGACAAACCAGCTGCTGTTCACCGGCAGACAGAAAAGCGGATCACTTATCCCGACGCGCCGATGGGCCATTTCAGCCACGCGGGGCAAATCAAATTAGGCCGGAGCCAGAGAAGGTCCTCCGGCCCACAGAGGCCTTTATGTGAGCCCCGCGGAGTGAAAGCAAAACCTGTGTTACTGGTGTTATTAGGCCCTGCGCAAACACACTCGCCTACCTTTCTCAATGACTCCCTCATTCACTCACTCACTCACACTTGCTCAGGCATCGTCATCCCTAACAGGAAATAAGAGTTTGTTTTTCAGGTAGCAGCTGTTTGTGGACTTTTTTTTCCCCCACCTAAATCCATCAAGATTTAATCTTAAACAGCATAACCAGGTGATAAGTGCAGATGGCTGAAGGAGTGAATGAATGACACAAGGAGGAGCTGCAAGTTTCAGTCAGATAACATCTGAAAACGGGCACAGGAACTTTATTAGAAGGCACACAGAACACAGCCAAAAGGGTTGGCCACGTTGAACTGGTCGCCAGATAAGCGAGAATGCAAAAAACAAAAACAAAAAACAATACAACTTTCAACTGTGTGGAGTTGGAATGGGGACACGGACGTGATTTGTGATATTCTGCTGACACCTATTTCCTCCTCGTTGCGCTGAGAGCCAATTGAGACGCGACGAGCGGGCGAGCCTTCGAGAGCCGACCCCCGGACTCCGCTGCTGTGACGTCAGCGCCTGCGAACACGTGACCGTTGAACCATCTAACAACCCTCCACGGAGGGGGAGAAAAAAAAAAGAGAGAGAGAGAGAGAGAGAGAGAGAGAGAGTAGTAAGCCTATGCAAAGCCAGTTCGACAGAGTTGTGTTGCATTTGCGCACAATTACGCACCGAGACCAACTTCCAGCACAGGAGCGCTCAGCGTCAAGGAGCGGAACTTGGTTTTCTTACTCTCACTGGTGAGTACGCTCTGCTCTAAGTCTGATTATTCATGTATGTTCTGGGGGCCGACTGAATGGAATAACGTCCGATATCAAGTTCAACGCGAATGCTTCGTGAATTACGCAGGAGAAGCAAGGACATGATACCAAAAAGGGGGAAAAAAAGTTGTCTTTCACGATTCACGAAAATGCACAGGAGGTGTGCGCGGCTGGGCACGCGCTGTCACAGCTCGCGGCGTGAAACATGCCACGAATTCCGAGAAAAAAAAAAACACTCGAGGACTGATCGTGCAGCGAGAAAAACATCAGGCTGTCAGAAGTCTGCCAAGTGACTTCAGACTTGACAAATCTAAACTTTACCCCCC